ATCTCCGTCCTTCCTCAGGAGAGAGGCCTCGGCTGCCCGCCTGGCACCTTAGCCAGTAAAACCCCGCAAAGCAAGCCCCGCGTGTCGGCTCCCTGGACCCAAGCGGTGGCGGCTGTTCCTCCTGGCCCAAGGCAGTAGCAGCCGGAGTTCTGGGAGCAGAGGCTCTTTGCGTTCCAGCCCAGTTTTATACTTTCTGTGCTTACTCTGGCGTAAATCCAAAGTACCGCCACAGCGCCTTTCCGCACCTTAACTTGGAAGCCCGGGGTGGGCGGCCTCGGCTGGGGACCCTGGAAAAGCGCGTGGCTTTGGGCGCTTTCCCCCTGCCGTGGGAAAAACCCCGGGTGCTCAAAGCGCGCGCGGAGCCAGTTCCTAAATGTGCTGCCAGCAAGCATCTCCTTGGCCCGCCGGGAGTAAAGCTAAATCGCAGAGGGATTTGTGCTGTTTTACCGCTCCTTTCTCCAAAACATGAGTTTGGAATATATTCCCGAATTAATACTGAGGAATATTCCCTGCCTCGCCGTCCGCGCAGCAAATGCACGCCTTCCTTTCCCCCAACACTGGCCCTCCAGTCTTGCGGCTCTTGCCGCCGGTCGCTTCGTTGGAGATGTTGTGTGTGTATGTGCTTTGTGTTAGAGACAGTTCCAGTTTAGGGGTCGCGGAAGTGGGGGGCATTTCTCTTCGCTCCGCAGGCTGCCCAATTCTCGCCGACGAGTCACCGCAGCAGTTGCGTCGAGGTCTTGGATCCCGTCGGGTCTCTGGGGAATGCCCAGAAAGGCGCAGAGGACTCAATCCACGCCCCCACGGCACTCAGAAGGAAAGGACTTTCGAAACTTAAATAACATGGAAAAATGGTGAAAAATCAGAGGCATAATAGTTGAAATGTATAATATGAAACAAGATTTGAGAGAAGGTGAGGTATTGCTGAATAAGACTGTGTAAAAGGGAACACAGAGAAGGGAGATGTGAGGGAGTCTGGAAGGAAGATTATGAGAATAATATCTAAGAAACCGGTCTTTTTTCTATGTTTTTTCTTTTATGTCTTTTTTTTCTTGTTTTTTCTTATTGTGTTTTTCTGTTTTTTGGATAGAAGGTGATGGTGGTTTTTTTTTCTTTTGTACCTTGTTTTGTGAAGCTTGTTTTATTGTTTGAAACTCTAATAAATATCTTTTTTTTAAAAAAAAGGAAAGGACTTTCGAGCCAGTCTACAAGGCCAGGTGCTCGCTCGAGTCCTGTCCGCCTCGTTCTTTCATCTGCTCGCCAGTACCTGGTGCAGTGTGGTGGGGGACTGGGTCCCGCGAGCCCAACTTTTCCGACTTCTCTGTCAGGAGAAAGAAGTCCTGGCTTCTGCTCCCTGGCCGTGATCCCTCCTCCTACACCCCGGACGAGAGATGGCGAGCGAGCAGGTAGAGCCCCCCCCGCCCAGAAACAGGGCAAGCAAAGAACCCGAAGCGCCAGGGGGCTCTCCTTACATTTCCTTCACAGTCCGCTCTGCTGCCTAACCTTCCAGAAGAAAGGCGGGCGACGGCTCCCGCGGAGGGATGGCAGCTTCGCCTCCGAGAAGAGAGCGCAGCCTTTCCCCTCGCGGCATAGCAGCAAGGATCAGGGCGATTGACGGTTGCAAGGAGTCGCCACTGGCCTACCGCCCTTTCTCTGAGAGGCTCCATCCACGTTCTTAGCCTCCCCTTTTGGGTGGTGCACGGTGGGCTTCCTCACTCCTCTCTCTGAGCAAGTTTCAGGATTGTGAAGGGTTGCTCCTTGCAATTAACCCTCCCTGCCAGCTTTCAAGGCTTATGGGAGGCAGCAGTGGCGTAGCGTGGGGGGTGCAGGGGGGGGCCGGACGCACCGGGCGCAACATCTGGGGGGGGGCGCTCGCACTCTCAGCTCTAAAATCCATGGGTTAGGGGGCGCAAATTACTTGCCTTGCCCCGGGTGCTGACAACCCACGCTACACCATTGGGAGGCAGCACCTCCCCTTCAGCCCAAGGTGGTGTTGCTGTGAACAGCAGAGCACCCCTTGCCCTTTGCATCCATATTTTAATATATGTCCATCCCTTCCCCAAGGGTGAGCAAACACTTACCGGGAAGTCACTGCTTGGCCAAGTTGGAAGAAGCCATTTCTGATGGCGGTGGTGGGGGGACCCTCAAAGCAGTAAATTGTACCAATTATCAAGGAGCACAGAAGCACACTTTGGAACTTCCTTTTGTGTCAAGTTGCTGTGGGCTTCTCATTTGCAAGGAAATTATACTCAAGCACCACAAAAAAGGGTTCTAAGCTGAAGAGACTTCTGCACTCTGCTGAATTCTTACTTGCTGGGTGTTTTCGTTCCAAAGACAACATAGCATCCAAAAACATGGTTTTTGCATTTGTGGATTGAAGTGGCACAAGACACTCTTCCCCCTCTTTCTACCATTATATGTGGGCCTGTCATGCATAAGTGCAACTTACAGGCCCATTGGCCCAGTTGTGCGCAGCCATCAGATGTGTTTCAGACCTTGTGGTGTGCTTTGCTAGGATGACCAGGTGGATCAATCTTGTCCTTACTGGAAAAAAGCTTGTGGTTACAACCTTGGAAATATGCCTTCTTGGTCCCCGACTAGAGTGTCTTGAACAAAATAAGCAGTTCAGTCTTTGATTCCATTAGTAACAATATAAGGCCAACATCTCATCTAGACCAGCAAGCTGCTCTCATGGTAGTCAGCCAGATTCCTCCGGGAAGTTCAAAAGCAGGACCCCAAGTGCTACAGCAGAACAATCCCCAAGGTTCTAGTTTCAGGTAAAGCCAGGAAAACTAGCATTTGTGGGAGTCCTAATAATTTCCCCTGAACATCAGTAGCTGGGTAAACTTCTATTTCCTACCATTAACATATTCATTTTAATTCCAGGGAATTGTATTAGCACAAAATGCACATGGTAAATCATCTTTATTTGTCTTCCAGATTGCTGCATCTACATCTTTGCCAAGTTCATTTGGTTTTTTTATTTATTTTTCTATGCATTTACAAGCAGCACTGGTTGTGAGGATGAAAGTGGGAGAGAGAAAGAACTGTGCACACCACCTTGGGCTCTTCAGAGGAAATGGGGAGATAGAAATGAAATGGAAACAATGTGTCTTGTTATTATGAATTTTTGTACCTTGAAAATTTCAATAAAAATCATATTTAAAAGAAAAAGAATGCATATGGCAGGAAAATGGGGGGGGGTACTCAAGTTTCAATATATAGATGCCATGGAAATGAGAGTACACAGAGGGGGCTGAAAGAAGCACAAGTAGGGAACTATTAACAACTCTCCTCTTGTTCAAATAATTACACCCAATGGCTCTTCATCTTTGCTTTTTCATACCAGCTCTTATCCCATCCTAGGCTTCTTTGCAGATGTTAAGAGGAGGGAACTGGATGCTGCATTTATCAACAATACTCTGGGCACTTAATTTGGTCTAGGCAGGCAGAAGCAGCCATTTCAAATTTCATTGGTCCCTTAAATGTTTAACACTTCATTTATTATTTATTTCTAGAATTTATACATATTTTCCTGTGAGATGCTTAAGGCAGTGTGCATTTAATCCCCACAGCAACCCTGTGAGGTGAGTTCGGCTGAGAGACAAAGACAGGTGCAAGGCCACCCAGTGTGCTTCGTGGCTGATTGGGATTTGAACCTGTCTCCCAGGTCACAGTCCAACACTCTGTCACACCACACTGCCACAAGTTGTGCTCGTGGTACATGAAGGGTCTCAACACTGACCTGATGAGCAGCTATGATGGGCACAGATTGTTCAACAACTTAAAAATTGCTCAGGTAAAAGCCATAGGTATTATTTTGCAGTCCAGCTTCTACTGAGGCTGGGATTTGATCTTCATACAGGTCTAAGGAAATAGCTTCATAAGTCTAGTTGCAGATTGTGGAGAGACAATGAAGTTCAAAGGAAAAGTGCAGAATAGGCAATTTATTCTTTTGGAAGAGGGATGAGCAAAAGAGCACAGAAGCTAGGTAACTGAGACTCTGAGGGCCCTCCGAAGAAATCCACAGTGCTGACGGCCAAAATGCAAGTGTAAAGAAACAAGACCAATGGGGCCATGACCCAAAAGACAGGGTGACTAGGTTGAAAAGCAGTGACCCAAACTGATAACCAAATGGATGGTGAAAACATACAGTTTGCCAAATGGAGGAGCAATTTTGCTTTAAATTAACCAAACAATTATTTTGGTGATGATTTTTAACCTTTCTGATCTGTCCAATTTGGCTGCAATGAGATGTGGATTGTACTGTACTGTAATTTACTAATTTTACACTGAATTTTGATGCTCAGCCATCATCTTAATCTCTTCCCACTGAAGCTTTACTGCCAGTTGAGGCAAGAGCAACGTTCAAATGCATCAACATATCAGCTACCATAAAATCTGCTTTTGCAAGGTTCAACAGAAGGCGGAGGTCTCTGTAAAATGCAGGGGGGTCAGAGGTGGGGCAACCCTGAACTGCAGTTTCAAAGCACCACCTCTACTCTTTTGAAGCAATGGCCTGGCAAGAGCAAAACACGACACTTTAAATCTTCATTGCACAGCAGTAACTGAATGACTTAAAAAGACACAGAACCATGAATTTACCTGTGAGAGGGGAGAAGTAAACTAAAAGATAGTTGTGGTTGCCCAGCACTTCAGTGCATTTCTGATGTGGCTCAATAAAATTCCTACCTGGAAAGAGCAATAGAGAACCAACCACCCATTTGAAAAAGACCACAAAAAAACAAGCTAAGGGGGAAAAGAATAAAAGGATAACTTGCAAAGCATCCTCTGATGGCCCACACATGGGTGCTTAGTGAACAACTGATCTTTGCCAGGGCACTGGTTGCACTGATTTCATCTAGTGCAGAGCGCTGTGCCCTCTGCCTGGGGCCCACAGACCTTGCTTCCTTCAACAGAGAGGGAAGGTGTAGCGAACCCTCAGGAGGCATATGTACCGCAGATGTTTTGGCAGATGGAAGAGGCCAGCGCAGTCGTCAAGGTGCTACCTTTGGAGAAACAGCCTTTATTTAAAAGTATGTTGGTTGTGCATACAGTCAACATTACAATCATTTTTCATTGAGGTGAAATACAGGAAGATAGTTCTGAAAGGCAGTTTTGCTCAACTGATGGAGAAGGGAAAGGAAAATTAAGACAGATTCCACCTGGAGCTTGGAGGGGGCAATCCTGATGTGAATCAATTCCCATTTTCTTCTTCCCTTGGGTTTGTGTAAGAGAAGTTCCAGGTGGACTATACAATTAATTTTATAGGAGGTGGAAAGCCTGGTAGCTGCTTCAACATTCTATATGTCACTTGCTCTCTTTTCAGGCTGAAATGGCATTATTTTTTGTGCAGAGCTCCTGTAAGAGGCAAGTAAGGCAACTACAGAGAAAGCAGTTTAGCATAACATTATCCATACTCCTTCAAGAGCATCATGCCTCTGTTGTAGGGTGGTGGCACACCCTGGATATCCAATAATCACCTTAATTTCTGCTTTCATTACTATATAAAACTTAAATTACTTGGTTTTTTTAAAAAAATATTACTAATATAATTTCCCATCTTAAAATGCCTTATACATTTACAGTACTTAAAACTATTTGAGTTCTGAAGTTTAAAAGCGGGGAGGGAGGAATATGTTTGGGGGTCAAACACACAGCAAATCCCACTAGGAAAGGAGCTAGAATCAGTAGATTCATAGTGCAATTTTCTTAAAAAAGGAAAGAGAAAGAGAGAACACACAACGGCACCCCCTTTTTGTTTTTCAAATGTAAATGAACAAGATGAGGTTATTATACTGTACATGCAATAAGTTATAGCAAGCAAATGACAACAAAGTTGGAGAACTCTACAATTTTAAGCTGGTGACCAGAGCCAAAGGCAGAGGAAAATGGACACTGTGGGTGCACATTTCAAAGTCCCGTAACTGTGGTGCTGGAGCAACTGCTGTCATGCCTTGTATTTCTGTTTCCCAGTCTCACTTATGACACAAATGTGCTGAAAGAGAGAGGGTAAAAGCACTGTGTGGATTAGGAGTTTAACAGCTAGGAGATGAACAAACACTCTGCAGAGCCTGCTACCACTGAGTGTGACCAAGAAACATACAAAACACATAATTAACTTTCCAAATACACAGCAACAGGATATATGGGGATGGCAAGTAGCTCAAACAGCTTTAGAAGGGGGTTAGGCAAAGTCCATGGCAGTTCACCATCATGACCAGGTTCAGAGGCAGCACATCTCTGAGTTACAGCTGCCTGGGGTGCTGAGAGAGGTGGTGCCACAGCAGAAACGGCCTAGTGCCTGGTGGGCTTCGCAGAAGGAAGCCTAGAGACAGACCACTGTGTGAAACAGGGTGATGGAGAAATGGACCTTTCACTGACGAAGCTGCAGGGCTCCTTTTACCTCATTATCATCAGGAATGGAACCTGAAGGGGTAGCTATTCAGCCTAATTACAGCAAGCCACAAAATTATGATATTCTGTAACACTAGCATCAGCTTGGCTGCATGGATATTTAAAACAACAGAAGCTATGTCAGCTGTCTTATCTGCCCACCTCAGTAGATTCTAAAATGGCCATTTTTATTATATATATATATATATATATATATATATATATATATATATATATATATATATATATATATATTTGCTTTCGTAGATTTTCACGGGTACAGGAATGCAGGTTTTGGTGTCCTCGGGTGTCTTCCCGTGTAAAAGTTGGGGTGTCTAGGCGACGTTTCGACGAGGTCTCACTCGTCATCTTCAGGACACCAAAACCTGCATATATATATATATATATATATATATATATATAAAATTTATTGTATATTATTATTATTTATGTTTATATTCCACTTTCATAAAGTATACCAAGGAAGCTTACAACATACAAACTATAATAAAATATAAATATATATAAGTAAATAATTAAAAACATCAATAGAAATTCAGTAGATACTAGTTAACCTTTCTTGCAAAAACTGCTTTGAGACAGGCTCTCTCCCCCCCATCTTTCCTGGGAAATGTCACACTTGACCAATAAGGCTTAAGGATATAGAATTGAGGTTGGAGGAGAACCTAAACTGCTGTCAGGTTAATGGGGTTGTTTGGGAGCCCAACGGATCTTGGTGGGAAATACAGGAAACAGCCCTTCTGTGTGGGGAGTGTGCGTAAGCCCCTCCACCCCATTATGTGCCTGTAAAGTTTATGGCCAGCAGAGCCTGGGGTTCCCCAAGAGCAGAATATGCGTCTGCCGAAAACCTCATTCTGGCATTTCTCTACCCACCGGTAAAAGAAGCAAAGGAAATGTTGCACCAAGGGGAAGGGGGGCTGTGGCTCAGTGGCAGAGCATCTGTTTTGCATGCAGAAGGCCCCAGGCTCAATTCCCAGTATCCCCAGTTATGAATGGAAAAGACCTTCTGCCTTGAACCCTGGAAAGTTCTGTCAGTCAGCACTGAAAACACTGGACCAGTGGTTTGACTCTGCATAAGCCAGTTTCCTACGTCAGGCAGAAGGGGAACGAGGGGGGGGGGATACTCTTCCGCAATTTATACAGAAAACAATCTTTGTTCATTACTTACATTTAGATCTCTGAAGTATTCATTGTAATCTAGAGCATATCCCACCACAAACTTATCTGGTACTTCAAACCCAACAACTGAAAAAGAGCCAGAATTCATCAGTATGTTAAATTTGGGCAATGTTTAGATAATCATATTACATTATTTGGACTATTCATAACCAGTTTCCTATTTGATAATGCTGCCTATTGGCATTGTTTAAAAAATGTAACAAGGATAAAACAGGGAGACATAAAACCGACAGTACATTTTGATACAGGGAAAAGCTACACCATGTCCAAAGGAGTGAGACAGTAGGGACTAGGTGGTAAAAGGTAAAGGGTAAAGGGACCCCTGACCATTAGATCCAGTCATGGCCGACTCTGGGGTTGCGGTGCTCATCTCGCTTTACTGACCGAGGGAGCTGGCATACAGCTTCTGGGTCATGTGGCTCTGGCAAAACCAGAGCAGCGCACGGAAATGCTGTTTACCTTCCTGCCGGAGCGGTACCTATTTACTTGCACTTTGACGTGCTTTCAAACTGCTAGGTGGGCAGGAGCAGGGACCGAGCAACGGGAGCTCACCCTGTCACTGGGATTCGAACCACCGACCTTCCGATTGGCAAGTCCTAGGCTCTGTGGTTTAACCCACAGCGCCACCCGCGTCACGGTAGGGAATAGGTGACAAGGCCCCAAATGAGTGGAAAAACACATACCACTGAAAGGAGTTAAATTATTGCAAAAGCTGCAATTTAAGCTGCAATCCTAAACACATTTAATAGGGAGAAAGCCCCACTGAACACAGTTTGGAGTAAATATGCCCAGGATTGCACCATTACCCATTTCACTTTTAAGTGCTTCAGGTATCTCTACTTAAACACACTGCAAACAAAGTACAGTACATATCCACAGAGGCCAGGTCACTCTCCTTAATTCTGCTCCAGCTCCTATAATTCTTTTCTGTCCTCATTTATCCCTCCCTCCCCATTTTGTAACATTACAGTTGTTCTTTAGCCAGTGACTCCCTGCAGTCAAATTTCATCTACTTTCAATCTGAATATAGAGATTTTTACATTGCTTTAAAAATGTATATATTTTAAGGTGCACTGAAAAATTCACTTACAGTCAGGACGGTATCCTACACTTCGAGGTGTTCTTTTGACCAACAAGCTGTTAAAAAGACCCCAAAGCAAAAAAAATAAATTGTGGGTAGAAATTAACTCATGAAATGCACTCCATGCTCCCTGCATGCCAAGCCACTAAGTTCTGTACTCCCCCACTGCTATATCACAGTGGAAACACTGAATCTGGATTACAGTGGCAGTTAGAGGGTTCTTTCTACAGCCAAGTTTTAAGTGAGCATAAAGGCTGCTCTCCCCTTCATGGATCACTGCCTTGCCGTGGTGAAGGGGCTGGAATAACTTAGAGAAGCTCTGAGCTATGCCATGCAGGGCCACCCAAGATGGACAGATCATAGTGGAGAATTTTGACCAAACGTGATCCACCTGGAGCAGGAACCGGCAAGCCACTCCAGTATCCCTGCCAAGAAAACTCCATGGACAAAGACAACAGGCATATAAAAGTTATGATGCTGGAAGATGAGCCCCTCAGGTCGGAAGGTGTCCAACATGCTACTGAGGAAGAGCGGAGGACAAGTACAAGTAGATTCAGAGCTGATGAAGCGGCTGGGCTAAAGCCGAAAGGTCGCTCAGTTGTGGATATGCCTGGAAGCAAAAGGAAAGTCCAATGCTGTAAAGAAAAATATTGCATAGGAACCTGGAATGTAAGAACCATGAACCTGGGTAAGTTGGAGGTGGTCAAAAATGAGATGGCAAGAATAAATATTGACATCCTGGGCTTCTTGTCCCACATAGAGATTTCTCAGGAGACAGATGAGGTGATCAGGCACTCCCATTTCTTTAAGAACTTGCCATAGTCTGCTGTGGTCAACACAGTCAAAGGCTTTTGCCTAGTCAATGAAGCAGAAGTAGATGTCTTTCTGGAACTCTCTAGCTTTCTCCATAATCCAGCGCATGTTTGCAATTTGGTCTCTGGTTCCTCTGCTGCTTCGAAATCCAGCTTGCACTTCTGGGAGTTCTCGGCCCACATACTGCTTAAGCCTGCCTTGTAGAATTTTAAGCATAACCTTGCTAGCATGTGAAATGAGTGCAATTGTGCGGTAGTTGGAAAAGATCCTGATGCTGGGAAAGATTGAAGGCACAAGGAGAAGGGGATGACGGAGGACGAGATGGTTGGACAGTGTTCTTGAAGCTACCAGCATGAGTTTGACCAAACTGCGGGAGGCAGTGGAAGACAGGAGTGCCTGGCGTGCTTTGGTCCAGGGGGTCACAAAGAGGCGGACACCACTAAACAACAACAACAAAGGCTGCTCTTTGACCAATTGTGTATGAGGAGGAGCAGGCATTGAAAATTATTCTCTTCCTCCTTCAGTGGTGCCAGAAGGGGAAATTCAGCACATCACCGTTCTGTGCCTGAAGCATCTCCCCCCTGCCTAGGCCCCTGCACTGCCATGAAACTTGTGCAGCAGAAAAGTGACTTTACCTATGCTCAAAATATACTGTGGACAGTGGGAGACTTTCCTCAAAATATACAGAATAAATAAAGAAGTTTGTTTAGGAAGGCAGGGTTATTCTGATAATTAAAGTTAAAAATTAGTATTTAAGCTAGCTACTGGGTGAGATGCAAGAGTCATTGTACTAAGAATGCAGAAGGTCTGCTAAGAGTAAGTATAATATGTGGGTGTTTAAGAGAGAAGTGATCCAAGATGACACTCATTTTTAGACCAAAAACTAAACTGTTAAAACCTTTTAATAAAGCAATTTCCCTTAGACTAGTTCTCTTTGTTATTTAGTCTTGGGCAGCTGAAGCATAGAGGGGGATTGAGAGCCCACTGCTTTTAACTATGGACACCTTCATCACAAAGGCAATGATCAATATCCAGCACAAGCAATGGAGAAAAATTAACACCCCCAACCTTGCACTTATTAACTCCTAAACGTAACTGACCTCAAAAGGATACAAAAAGATGTGTAACTGTACCACCTTTTTTTCATCATTCTGCAAAAGTTCCTGAGAAAGCAAATTGTAGCACATGCAGGAATTGAACATACCTGGCTACCTTCACCATCTTTGGGTTGTACTGCTTAAGCAGAGACAGAAGAGTCTTCATTGTCTTACCAGTGTCAATTATATCCTGACATTTAAAACAAAAAGAGCCTTGTGAAGTGAAGCTGCAGCCAAGTACCTCTTACAGGTTCATAATGAACTAAATCATACATACGAGGAGGAATAAAATTCAGAGTCATTTGGTGCTCATTTGTGTCTGTCAGTAATTAGGGGGGTGGGGGGGATGAAGGGAACATATCTGCAAATGGATATGGTCCCAGAATTTGAAGTGCACACCAATACTTGATCAGCTCTTTACATGGTCTCCACAAGAACAAGAGCATTTTTGTGTAAAATATTAACAAGCTCCAGCTGAATTAAGTCACAATGCAATTAAGCAGAATCAGTTCAACAATGCATTCTTGCCTATCCATCTTAGTAGTAAAAAAAACTGCATGTGAATTAAGTGTCCCCCTGATGGCAGCTGCTTGTACAAGAGAAATTGCTTTTTCTTTTGAGAGAGCTTTAATCCATACTTTAGCTTAGGGATAGTTGTTGTTCTGGAGTAAAATGGTGCTACATTATTTGTACTGGTTTCACAGAATTACCCCAAATCATACCTATTAAAAAAGGAAAATGTAAACTGTTGTACTTACTTCTACAATCAAGACATTCTAGGAGAAAGAGAAAAATTGTTTAAAATTGTTTAAAAGAGTTTAATTAAGTCAACACTTGGTTTCCAATTTATATTTATCCAAACCTTTTCAGGATGCCTGTTTTTCATTTTTCATTTCCCTGATTAACCAGCACACAAATATAGGTGGATACTTCAACTATGAAGCAAACCAGCAGAAAATGGCTACAAAATTATGCCCTGTGGTTAAACGACTCAGGTTTCTACTGCTCATTAGCACAAACTCAAAATTGAAAGTTTATCATAGTTCAGAAATAAAGTACCAATTTCAATGCAACAAGTTTCAGAACCAACTGAGGGGGCGGGGAAGCATTAGTACCAGAGGAAATACAACATGTGCCACATCCTCTTCTTTCTAATGCACTGATATTGCTTAGCTAGTTTAGGCACCTTCTCAAGGGCAAGCTAACAACAACAAAAATATTGAACATTCATCATCAGAACAGCTTTGTAAAAATTAGGACAGCCCTGGATCAGTAGCAGAAGGTCCCAATTTCAATGCCTGGCTATCCAGGAGGGGCTGGAAATGTCCCATCTGAAACCCTGCCGAGAAATCGCCAGTCAGGGAAGACCATCCTGAGCTTGATGGATCAACGGCCTGACTATGTATAAGGCAGTTTATAACTAGTGCCACATTAGAATTCAGAACAGGGAGTACTCATTCATATTTTCATGAGTTGTCTTCATATTTAAAGTAGAGAGTGATTTAGAACTGAATCATGTACCTAAATGTGAATGTGCTATCTATCCATGAAGAAGTTGAGTAAGGGGTGAACCCCCCCAATCCCCACATAAACAAAGCCTAGAGGTTGCAGAGTGCAAGTAAGGGAGCACCCAAGGCCCTAGAAGCATCATTGGTATGGTCACTTGCAGACAGAACCTCAAGATGTCCTGTGCAATCCTACATCTCTATTATCTACTGGGAGGCACAATCGGAAGCCTTCTGTGAAAGCTTAGAGAATAACTGATAGCAGGGGAGGGGTTAAGGGTTTCAAAAATTTTGTATGATCCTTATAGCATTACTTGCTACTGTCATTAATATTTACTGTTAGAAGTGAAACGTTTCCCACCTTACATGACAAATGAAAGTTGAATGTCTTGACAAGCAGCTCTGTTTGTACAGCAGAACCAGGAGAGGGGAGACATAACAGAATATTGCAACAGCCTTTGAGGGACATTTCTTGCTCTATACAGCAGTAGGCACAAAATAGAGGATGAGATGAATGCTGCTATTAGACAGAAGCAGCACTACAAAGAAGACAAGATGCACTTCAGAAGATGTTCAAGTGCAGGAGTGGGGAACCTGTGGCCCTCCAGAGACTGTTGGACTCCAACCCACATCAGCCACTGCCAGCACGGCCAACCGTCAAGGATGATCACAAGGAGTTGTAATCCAGCAGCATTTGGAGGGGCACAAGCTCCCCAGCCCAGAATTGTATTTTAAGAAGTCTTATCTTCTCAATACTGTAAAGATAAGGGGAAGGGCTCAGTGGTAGGGCAGCTGCATTGCATGCAAAAGGCCTAAAGTTCAACACCCTCCAAGCCCCTCCAGGGTCAGGTTGGTAGGTGATCAGGTGACTGGAAGAGACTCTTTGCTGCCAGATATCCTGCAGAACCATCGCTAACTGGAGCAAACAATGCTGGGTTAGGGGGACAAATACACATACCACATTGGAGATACAGTGGTACCTTGGCTTACATATGCTTCAGGTTACATACGCTTCAGGTTACAGACTCCGCTAACCCAGAAATAGTACCTCGGGTTAAGAACTTTGCTTCAGGATGAGAACAGAAATCTTGCTCTGGCGGTGCAGCAGCAGCTGGAGGCCCCATTAGCTAAAATGGTGCTTCAGGTTAAGAACAGTTTCAGGTTAAGAACGGACCTCTGGAACGAATTAAGTACTTAACCTGAGGTACCACTGTATTGCAGGCTCGGTTCCATACCACCACAATAAGGCTAGTATTGCAATAAAGCAAGTCACACTTTTTGTTGTTGTTGTTTCCATTTGGATATAAAAGCTATGTTTACACTATGCTGTAGTCTAGGCAAGGGGCCCCTGCAACCAAGGGCAGGAGGAGAAAAACCCAGCCCCAGCCCTGGCCAGCCCCACTGCTGTGGCCAGAAGAGGGGGGGGGCTTTCTTCCACTGGAAGTGAGTGGGCTGCCTGCAGCTGCACCCTGGTCCTCGTAAAGAGCAGTATCTGTGGAGTGCAACAAAGCGAGGCGTGATGAAAGGAGGCATGCCTGCAGTCTGACCTGCAGCTTCCTGTGTTCCTTTGAAGATGTGTCAGACTGCAAGAGCTAATCCTAGAAACAAAAGTGTCAGGGGAAATAAAAAACTTGAAACCTGAACCAACAAAATGCCACAAATAAACATAATATGCCTACATCTGTGCCAGGCATATTCTGTTCACAGGTTGCACTTCACTGATTCAGATTTCAAGTCTTATACTTTGGTTTTTAAAATTGTTTCCTTGACTTGATTACTGTAGCATTATATTTCTTTGGTCACAGTTGTCTCCTTTTATACTTCTAAAGTAACAAGACTCCCGAAGAGTATTTGCAGTTTACTTTTTTCAAATTTAGATTGCCTTCCACAAACAGACTTTGCAGCATGGAACACTGGAACAAAAATTAGGGAAATTGCTCCTAAGGTGTTGCATGCAGTTGATATGGCCATGTTCTCTTATAATGTTTCTTAGTAGCAAGTGCTACCATTTACAAAAGGCAACATAAGCCACATCCATCAGTGGCTACTTGATCAAAACAATAGTCTTGCCTCATTTCAGCAGTGACACTCAGGTGCCTCTGGGGACTTACAAGTTGCACATGAAGATAATAACCTTCCCCAGATTTTGTCCCCAGCATCTGGTATAGAGAGCTTTGCTGCTTCTGTATAATGAAGTTCTACTTCGCTATAACAGCTAATAGGAATTGATGTGTTTTTTCTCTATGATTTTTTTTAAGCCCCTAGGGAAGGGGCGACAAAAACATACACAGCAAATGTGCTGTTGCAAAATACAGTCAGCGAGAGAAGAGGACCTTGCAACCTGGTGCATGTGTAGTCTCACCTTTATTTGCATCTCACAGAATGGATTCAATAGTGCTCTGTCTTTAAGTGTAACTAATTGGTGATGGAAAATTAGTAGCATACAAAAGTGCTTCGCAGAAATTTCCGTATCTATCTATCTATCTATCTATCTATCTATCTATCTATCTATCTATCGCCATTTATTACATACCTTGCCAGTCAAGGTTGAGAGGTCATCCCCACCAATTACCTTTATATCACCAGTGGACTGGTCATTCTGATTTTAGAGAGAAAAGAAAAAGAAAGGGTTTGGAGGAGAATAATAATAAAGTGAATCTTCACTAAACACACAAACAAACAAACAAACAAACAAACAAACAAACAAACAAACCAAAAGCCCTACTTGAAAAATGAAGCTTTTAAAAAGTTTGTAAATCCTGGCTGGCTTCCTCCTCCTCACATCAGGTTTTTTTTTCAGAAATGTGAACTCAAAGCGACTTACAAAGACAGGAGTGCTTCTCCCCCACCTTGACTAAGCCTCTTAAAAATGAACATAAAACATCACTCCCACCCACAGTGGAACACAAAGCTGTCTGTCTGGAAGAGACAGTCAAGGATGTACCAGGGACTAAAAAGGTGATTGACAGAATGGATAGCTGAAAGTACATCTACATTATTTTTAAATATGAGGACATACCAAAGTGTAAAGGTACAAAACATCTAGAAAAGAAGGCACTTAATGTTTTCATTTGTAGTTTTAAGAAGAAGGAAGCTGGCATACTTGTATCTGTGCTTTTGACAGCAAACAAGAATTGCCTTTAAAAATTGATGTCTAAAAAGAAATATACTATCACTCATGTGATGCCAATACCCTACTTTGTAAAGTTGCCTAATCCCAACCCTCAAAACTCTGTAAACAATTTAATTTCTAATTTCACAGACAACTCAAGCAAATTATAAATTTATGTTTCCAATTAGGTTGTTTCTACATATCTCCCCTCCTTTTTGTGTACTTTAATCAGGTCCTTAGTTAAGGGGAATGGGATCACAGAAGTATAGTGCCCTGATCACAGAAATAATATACTCCATATGTGCTTTTCAAATTCTTAGTTTAAGTTTTTCTTATATGACTTTAAACTCCCAAGTATTTTCTGTTTCCTCAATGATAAATGTTACACTGAACAATCACCTACCTTCTTAAAGTAAAAGAAAAACCTTTATAATAAAAAAATAAAACCAAGCACATAATTTCCAAAAGCAAGTTGTTATCCTCCTTGGACCTAAGCCTCAGCTAAATGTTAACATCAATGGTATTCCTCATAGAATCACAGAACTGTAGAGTTGGAAGGTGTAGGATGTAAAAATGTATTGTAGTCAAATACAACATTCCCACAATGCACATGCAATGTATCACTCAGGAGAAAACTTGCTAGTTCCTCCTGAGCTGGGACAGACTTCCTTTGCATGTGACTTAGTGTGGGTGTGGTCTGTTCTTGGACAGATGAGCACACGGCCTCCATGTTCTGCCTTTTTTGTTCTCCATTTTTTGTGTTCCTAAGAGTTAGGAGAAGTGACTGCTGAATCGCAGCCACTTGAGACTATTTCCCTTATGGGATAGTTCACATTGTTATAGGTTGTTCTGTAAATTAAGTCTGCCTTCAGGGATCTTATTGTGAACTGGATGATTGTAAGTAAACTACTTTTATGTTAACTTTAATCATATGGTTGTGCCTATTCTTTTAGGAGGGATATAAAAAGGGAAACCAGGAATCCTAAATAGTGAGGCTCAGACAAGCCTGCAACTAGCTAACTGCTGTGTAATTAAAAAGGGAGATTGTTTAACAACTCTGCTAAGTTATGGAACTTGCTGACGCAAATTAGGAAGGATATAATAAAATAATATATCCTCTCAAACATCCCCACAGAAGGGACCTCCAAGAGTCATGTAGCCCAACCCCCCACAATGCAGGAATCACAACTAAAGAATCCCTGTCAGATGGCTATCCAACCTCTGCTTTAAAACCTCCAGCGCCATTTGAATAGGACATGGAATCATAGAATCATCGAGTTGGAATAGACCACAAGGGCCATCGAGTCCAACCCCCTGCCAAGCAGGAAACACCATCAGAGCACTCCTGACATATGGTTGTCAAGCCTCTGCTTAAAGACCTCCAAAGAAGGAGACTCCACCACACTCCTTGGCAGCAAATTCCACTGCCGAACAGCTCTTACTGTCAGGAAGTTCTTCCTAATGTTTAGGTGGAATCTTCTTTCTTGTAGTTTGGATCCATTGCTCCGTGTCCGCTTCTCTGGAGCAGCAGAAAACAACCTTTCTCCCTCCTCTATGTGACATCCTTTTATATATTTGAACATGGCTATCATATCACCCCTTAACCTCCTCTTCTCCAGGCTAAACATGCCCAGCTCCCTTAGCCGTTCCTCATAAGGCATCGTTTCCAGGCCTTTGACCATTTTGGTTGCCCTCCTCTGGACACGTTCCAGTTTGTCAGTGTCCCTCTTGAACTGTGGTGCCCAGAACTGGACACAGCACTCCAGGTGAGGTCTGACCAGAGCAGAATACAGTGGCACTATTACTTCCCTTGATCTAGATGCTATACTCCTATTGATGCAGCCCAGAATTGCATTGGCTTTTTTAGCTGCCGCGTCACACTGTTGGCTCATGTCAAGTTTGTGGTCAACCAAGACTCCTGGATCCTTTTCACATGTACTGCTCTCAAGCCAGGTGTCACCCATCTTGTATTTGTGCCTCTCATTTTTTTTGCCCAAGTGCAATACTTTACATTTCTCCCTGTTAAAGTTCATCTTGTTTGTTTTGGCCCAGTTCTCTAATCTGTCAAGGTCGTTTTGAAGTGTGATCCTGTCCTCTGGGGTGTTAGCCACCCCTCCCAGTTTGGTGTCATCTGCAAATTTGATCAGGATGCCCTTGAGTCCATCATCCAAGTCGTTGATAAAGATGTTGAATAAGACCGGGCCCAAGACAGAACCCTGTGGCACCCCACTAGTCACTCTTCTCCAGGATGAAGAGGAACCATTGATGAGCACCCTTTGGGTTCAGTCAGTCAGCCAGTTACAAATCCACTGAGTGGTAGCATAGTCAAGACCGCATTTTACCAGCTTCTTTACAAGAATATCATGGGGCACCTTGTCAAATGCCTTGCTGAAATCAAGGTAGGCTACATCCACTGCGTTCCCTTCATCTACCAGGCTTGTAGTTCTGTCAAAAAAACGAGATCAGGTTAGTCTGACATGACTTACTTTTCAGAAATCCATGCTGACTATTGGTGATCACAGCATTCCTTTCTAGGTGCTCACAGGCTGTTTGCTTAATGATCTGGTCCAGAATCTTCCCTGGTATTGATGTCAGACTGACTGGGCGATAATTATTTGGGTCCTCACTTTCCCCTTTTTGAAAATAGGGACAACATTTGCCCTCCTCCAGTCTGCCGGGACTTCGCCTGTTCTCCAGGAATTCTCAAAGATGACAGCCAGTGGTTCTGAGATCACATCTGCCAGTTCTTTTATTACTCTTGGATGCAGTTCATCTGGCCCTGGAGACTTGAATACATCTAAACTAGCCAAGTATTCTTGTACTATCTCCTTAGTTATTCTGAGCTGTGTTTCCTCTGCTGAATCATTTGCTCCAAATTCTTCAGGTCGGGCATTGTTTTCTTTATCGGAGAAGACTGAGGCAAAGAAGGCATTGAGGAGTTCAGCCCTTTCTGTGTCCCCTGTTTGCATTTCACCATCTTCTCCTCTGAGTGACCCCACTGTTGCTTTGTTCTTCCTTTTGCTACGGAAAAGATGCAGCAGGCTTGTTTGCTCCTATTCCAGAAGGCAGAACCAGAACTAGCAGGTTCAGATTACAAGAAAGGGGACCCTGACACAACATTAGGAAGAATATTGTGACAGTAAGAGCCGTTCAACAGTAGAACAGGCAGCCTTGGAAGGTGTCAGACTCTCCTTCATTGGTGCTTTTAAACAGTGCTTGGATAGCCATCTGTGTGAGCGACTGCAGACACACTTACGCAATAGCTCTTCAGCCTGATGAAGTCAACGGTCATAGGGATAGACTTGTCACTGTTTCGATTCAGGGCTTTGATATAATCCAGCAAGTCAGCAAAGAACTTGTAGCCCCCTTTAAGTACACAGAGAGCCACAATGTGATGCCCTCCCATACTCTGCATGATTTCTCGTGCCAGTCTTTCTGTTCTGTGGAAAGAGAAACAAACTAATTTGCCACACCGAGCCCAGTGCCAGGTCTCTCTCTCTCTCTCTCTCTCTCTCTCTCTCTCTCACACACACACACACACTTATTTGTACCATTTCTAAACCAGCCTTCCTCCAAGGAGATTCCTGGGCATATACAAATCTATATCATAAGAATAATAAATTACAACATAAAAATATAAAACTATTCCAAAAGACCAACAGTCAGAACATGAGTTAAAATCAAACTGCTACTCTAAGGCCTGCCCAAAAAGATGTGTCTTCACACCACATGGAAAACTCAGTAAGAAAGAAGTCAGCCATAGTTCTCGAGAGAGGAGAAAATATATATGCAGATGGGGCCTTAAGACTATTTAGACTCTTCCCCACACAACTGCCCACTGAGTAGAAATCACCAGTGGGATTGCAAGAAGGGTGTCCCAATAAGATTTCAACACGCAGACTGACAAGTAACAGGAGAGGCCCTCCTTCAAGGACTTGAGACTGAAAATTATTCTCATTATATCATGTTATTATTCACCTCCACTGGCTTGGACAAACCATGGTAAGCATTCATGTAAAGATAAAGCCAACAGAGCATCTTTCCCTGATATTGTATTTATCTCCCATCTGACAAAATAGGGCTATTTACCGGTCAGTGACATTTCTGCTTTTTCTCACTTGTCAAGGTTAATCTAATAGCAGTACTGCCAAACTCCCTTGATTTTACAGGGCAGCATGTGCCAAAGTAAATCTCAGTCTCTGCCTAGTTACTGGACAACTTTCAAAAGATATGAAGCATACAGGTCTTCAGAAGGTAAATTAATTCACTTTTTAAAGCATATTGCAGCTTGGATTAGTAAGGCACTAACAATACACTCCGGAAATTCAGAAACAAGGAAACAGAAAGCTGTTCAAATTTTTAAAGTTCTGTGCTTTCAAGATTTATACACCAGTGTGTCAGTGAGGAAACTTGTTACCTAATATATACACATGCACACACTTAATTTACAGTATGTCCTTATATCCCTTTTCTCATTAACATATGAATTATGGGCAAATTACCTGTCTTTTTATGGGTCAGGAACTGGTAACAATTTGCTAGAGGTGCAGAAAATTAGAGCAATGGTTCCCAAACTTCACCACCCCCTTAGACCACCTCAAAATTGCTGATTGACCACTTAAGGATTTTTGTTTGCTGTAGCAATGGTAATGTACTCCACTAGAAGCCATTTGATTTGCAATTGCATTTTTACTTCTTATATATTGTACTTTTTGTATTATAAATTAAAACCCAATATAAGAATTAAAAGACACGATAAAAATACTATTACGAATTAGTATCAATATTTAATGTGATGGATGTGCCATCTCCTGTCTTCAGCCACAATCTACATAAATGCTGTGGACAGGCTGAATGGAGCAGTCATCCGCAGACCACAATTTGGGTTCCACTGAACTAGGAAGTCCAACCCAGGAGGAGCTGTGTGCTCCTCAGAGCTTTGTGTTAATGGCACAGGAGATGTTCCCTTCCACAGCAACTGCCTTTACTGTGTACAGAGGAAATTTATCTACACTCCAGTAAACCAGACACTGCTTCCAAGCAAGCTGCAAGAGCCACCATAAAGTAAAACCTCCTTAGAACAAACATGCAGAGGCTTGCATGCAAATAATCATTTTTGAATATTGGTGAGAGTAAAACAAACCTGTCCATAATAAGCCCATGAGGAATATATACTTTTTCTAAATCTTCTGCATAATGTTTTGGTATGCAAAACAAGTCTAGGTCATATCCTTGTTCATCATCTCCAATCTAAAAGGAAAACAGAAAAGGTGAGGTCAGGTACAATGTGTTACATATCCTCCCAGAGAACAAAAATATATTAAAAAGCCTCATAATCTGGGATTACTAAAAAATCCAAAGCTATAATCTATTGGCAGAGTGTATGTTTTGCCTGTGTGAAGCTCCAGGGGGCTTCAACTATGGTATTTCCAGTGAAAAAGAGATCGGGGAATGGATTTTATTCTGTTAATTAGCTTTGAGATGAAGGAAAAATATTTTGATGCAAAGATAGTTTGTGCAGTTGGGGGTGGGTTATCATTTATAATGGAAAAATGAGAAAAGTTAAATAAAAATAATATTGAGAAAATATCATCTAAGGACTAGGCAAGGCAATGAGAACTTTCAGAGCTACGGAAGAGTCAGTGGGATCAATAGAGGACAATGGCGCACCATTTCTGACTTGAATCCTCAAAATACATGACAGCAAAGCTCCACAGCAGAGCATGCAAGTACAGTTTCCTCCTCCCCACCCTCCAGGAAGGCAAGCTGAAGGATGTATATTTGCTGCTACTCATGGGTTTACCTGCCACCACAGCCTTCACATCCTACTCAGAGACTCATTGACTCTGGGAGGAATGCACCAGTTGCAAACTGCAGATAACTACAATCTCCTCCCATCTTTGAACTGGGAATCGTGATTCTGCTACAGGCATAATTTAGCACCAAGAGAATGCTGGGCACTGTACAGAACTCACAGCTGATCAGGGACCAGGGAGAGAAAGTGGGGAAGGGTTGAGGGTAATCAAGTGGCAGGGGAGGAAGTAGTTTGGGAGAGGCTTTGGGGAAGAAGTACACCCTGAGGAGGACAATACAGTATTTGTGATTAGGTATTATGCTGAGGTGGCAAGAATACACAAAGGAACTATACCAGAAAGATATGGATGTCCCGTACACCCCAGGTAGTGTGGTTGCTAACCTTGAGCCAGACATCCTGGAGTGTGAAGTCAAATGGGCCTTAGAAAGCACTGCTAATAACAAGGCCAGTGGAAGTGATGATATTCCAGCTGAACTATTTAAAATTTTAAAAGATGATGCTGTCAAGGTGCTACACTCAATATGCCAGCAAATTTGGAAAACTCAGCAGTGGCCAGAGGATTGGAGAAGATCAGTCCAATCCCAAATAAGGGCAGTGCCAAAGAATGCTCCAACTACCGCACAATTGCACTAATTTCACACGCTAGCAAGGTTATGCTTAAAATTCTACAAGGCAGGCTTAAGCAGTATGTGGATCGAGAACTCCCAGAAGTGCAAGCTGGATTTCGAAGGGCAGAGGAACCAGAGACCAAATTGCAAACATGCGCTGGATTATGGAGAAAGCTAGAGAGTTCCAGAAAGACATCTACTTCTGCTTCATTGACTATGCAAAAGCCTTTGACTGTGTCGACCACAGCAAACTATGGCAAGTTCTTAAAGAAATGGGAGTGCCTGATCACCTCATCTGTCTCCTGAGAAATCTCTATGTGGGACAAGAAGCTACAGTTAGAACTGGATATGGAACAACTGATTGGTTCAAAATTGGGAAAGGAGTATGACAAGGCTGTATATTGTCTCCCTGCTTATTTAACTTATATGCAGAATTCATCATGCGAAAGGTGGGCTGGATGAATCCCAAGTCGGAATTAAGATTGCCAGAAGAAATAGCAACAACCTCCGATATGCAGATGACACAACCTTGATGGCAGAAAGTGAAGAGGATTTAAAGAACCTTTTAATGAAGGTGAAAGAGGAGAGTGCAAAATATGGTCTGAAGCTCAACATCAAAAAAACGAAGATCATGGCCACTGGTCCCATCACCTCCTGGCAAATAGAAGGGGAAGAAATGGAGGCAGTGAGAGATTTTACTTTCTTGGGCTCCATGATCACTGCAGATGGTGACAGCAGTCACGAAATTAAAAGACGCCTGCTCCTTGGGAGAAAGGCGATGGCAAACCTAGACAGCTTCTTAAAAAGCAGAGACATCACCTTGCCAGCAAAGGTCCGTATAGTTAAAGCTATGTTTTCCCAGTAGTGATGTACGGAAGTGAGAGCTGGACCACAAAGAAGGCTGATCGCCGAAGAATTGATGCTTTTGAATTATGGTCCCATGGACTGCAAGAAGATCAAACGTATCCATTCTGAAGGAAATCAGCCCTGAGTGCTCACTGGAAGGACAGATCGTGAAGCTGAGGCTCCAATACTTTGGCCACCTCATGAGAAGAGAAGATTCCCTGAAAAAGACCCTGATGTTGGGAAAGATGGAGGTCACAAGGAGAAGGGGACGACAGAGGACGAGATGGTTGGACAGTGTTCTCGAAGCTACAAACATGAGTCTGACCAAACTGTGGGAGGCAGTGGAAGACAGGAGTGCCTGGCATGCTCTGGTCCATGGGGTCACGAAGAGTCGGACACGACTAAATGACTAAACAACATTATGCTGACCCTTTCAGTTCCCACATTTCTGAGGCTTTTTTGAAAACAGCAACAGCAGAAGTTTTTTTTGGAGGTGGAATTTGATTTAAAAAACCTAAAAGTTTGAGAAAAAGCCAGGATACTCCACTACAAGCAGCTCCTAAAACAATATAACCCCAAGATATCAAAAACAAAACACTGTTCGGAATGTTTAAAATCTGTTAGAGAATACTGAAAACCTCAATTTCAAACAGCAGTAAGTGACTAGACCTTATTAGTCCTAGAGATACATTTGGCGACTTTTAAAGGCATGGAGAGGTGTGTGTTCCCCTTATCAAAGCTAAGATCAACATACTGATTATGTGTGTGTGGTTTTTTAATTGCTTCTGCTACCAACCACACTTGGCTGTCCTGTATGCTACTGAGCAGCAATACAACTAAAGAATCCCTCGCTGTGAATTATAGTCTCATGAGAAACATTCTGCAGGTAGAAACAACTAATTTGATTGCAGCAGCAAGCCAGACGCGCTTTTATGCAATGGCCTTGAGAGGAACACCATGCTCCTTTGCCTCTTCATAAACCAATTGGTTAACACCCACATGGCAGAAAGAAACTGAACCCGGCTTATGATAAATAGATGCTGAAAATGTGTCTTAATATTCCACGGAGATTGTAGCACTTGGAACAGAACAGCCTTCCCCAACTGGTACCCTCTAGTCAAAAACATCTGAAGGGCTAAAATAAATATGCTGCAGCAATCCATAAACAGCAAATGTTTAGATTTATCAGAAGGCTTGTGCAGAACCCTGTTGTCTCTGCATTTATTATTAGGTTCCTCAAATAACATTTTCTCATCTTTCCACTGAACTGAGCATTTCAGTTCATCTGCCAGAGATAGAGGTTCTATCAGTGGGCATTACTGGTGTCTGGAAGACCCCAGATTGGGTTCCCCTACTTGCAGTGCCTACTATGAGAGAATTTATTTATTTATTAAAATTTTTATACTGCACTTCAGCAGAGGATCACAGGTGAAGGGCCAAATACATAACATAGTAAAGAACAAAAACAACAATTCAAAAGGCTGTAGATTGCTAAACTAGCCAAGGCCCTGGGAGAAGAGGAATGTTTTTGCCTGGCACCTAAAGATATATAATGAAGGTGCCAGGTGAGCCTCCCTTAAATGCCACAAACAAGGAGCCACCACAGAAAAGGCATTCTCATGTTGTGGCTTTCTGGACCTCTCATGAAGGAGGCACACAAAGAAGGGCCTCCGATTACGATCCGGGGAGGCTCATATGGGGAGAGGTGGTCCTTGAGGTATTGCAGTTCTGAGTCAGAACGCAGCAGTTTTAACTGAGCCTGGAAAATAATTGGCAACTGGTGCAGTCGGGCCAGGATTGGTGTAATATGCTCAAACTGGCTTGCCCTGGTGAGCAACCTGGCCACTGAATTCTGCACCAAGTTTCCAAACCGTCTTCAGAGGAAGCCTCACATATAATGCATTACAGCAATCAAACCTAGAGGTTACCAGAGCATAGACAACAGAAGTAATGTTCTGAATCCAGGGAGGGTTTCTTGGCTGAGTGTTTTCACCACTGCCTCCTTGAAGCGGGCAGGGACCACCTCCTCCTCTCGCAAGACGGTATTAACCACTTCCCTGGCCCAGCCAGCTGTCCCTCCCCTGCTAGTTTCTGTCAGCCAGGAGGAGCAAGGGTCCAGAGCGCAAGTGAGTGCCCTGACTGATCCTAGCACCTTCTCCATGTCTTTGAGCCTTACTAACGGAAACTCATCCAACACAACAGGACTAGACTGTGCTCTGGACACCCCTCGAGATTCATCTGCTGTTAACAGTGGTGTCAAGATCCTGGCAGATGTAAGCAGTTTTATCCAATGCTTTGCAACCAAATCACAGTGAGCTACTATCTGTTCTCCCACCTCCTTTGCTCCCAACTGTAAAAGGTCCGGTACTACCCAGAAAAGCTCTATACTAGACAGCACAGCAAGGAGGCATACTTTGCTATCATTCACTGCCACTAAGTAAGCTTGATGATGATCGCTCGCCAGTGTTCAATTGCATTCCACTGGAGTTTTCATTCATTTGCGTTCAAGCCACCTCCAAGCTTGTCTATGCCCTAAGCTCTGCAGTATATCAGGGAGCCAAGCTCCTTGAACGGAACTTGACCAGCGTTAAGCAGCAACTGATCAATCCAGACTTTTGTATCCCTTCAATTCAAGAAGTAGGAGTCAGGCAGTGGTAGCGGTTCCTCTATGAACATCAGTTTAGAAAGCCTGGGTTCAAATGATAACATAAAAGATGCCATGTTGCTGACATTTCAAAGTATTTCACCAGAGGAAACTTTGAGGTTCCCTGACTTGTGGTGATGCCTCTCTCTCTCCCTACTAAATCTGGCTTTTGACACCCCACCTTAATTCTACCCCTCAAGTTATTATAATATAATATAATATAATATAATATAATATAATATAATATAATATAATATAATATAATATGATAATAATATAATATAATATAATATAATATAATATAATATAATATAATATAATATAATATAATATAATATTATAATATAATATAGTACGGGCAGGGGTACCTTTACCTTTAATATAATATAATATAATATAATATAATATAATATAATATAATATAATATAATATAATATAATATAATATAAATAATAATATATATATTATTATATAATATATAATAATATATAGGTATAAGTATTGTATACAGTTGTATACTGTATACTTATGTATTGCAGAAAGAAAGAATAACTATCCTGAGATGAGGAAAACTGAAATTCAAAATCCACATTCGTTATGATTGAACTTAAAGAAAAACAGACGAATTTGAGGACCAGAGCCCTACCTGAACTGGAAAAGGAAAGCTTGACAGAGTTTCAGGAGGCGACAGGACTAACATCAGTTGAGAAAGAGAGGTACAGTGGTGCCTCGCAAGACGAAAAGAATCCGTGATTCTCTTCGTCTAGCGGTTTTTCCGTCTTGCGAAGCAACCCCATTAGCGGCTAAGCGGATTAGCGCTATTAGCGATTTAGCGGCTTAGCGGCTATTAAAGGCTTAGCGGCTAAGCTGTTAAAAGGCTATTAACGGCTTAGCGGCTTTGAAAAAGGGGGGGGGAGCGGGGGAAAATGGCGAGACTCGCAAGACGTTTTCGTCTTGCGAAGCAAGCCCATAGGGAAATTCGTCTTGCGAAGCGCCTCCGAAACGGAAAGCCCTTTCGTCCAGCGGGTTTTTCGTCTTGCGAGGCATTCGTCTTGCGGGCACCACTGTATTTGGGGGTTAGTATGACCGCCAAAAATGTGAATCTGTTTAAGGATAACTGTGAAGGATGTTGGATTGAAGAGAAGGGGGATTTGGAAATATGGACAAATCAGAAGTTCTTACTGTTGGGCCGAGTTGCTGTGGTGGGGATGAGGGCTGCTGTGTTGCTGGGGATGTTGCTTTTGTTTCAAACATTGCAAGCTTTGGATGGGATGGATTGTTTCAGGAGGTGGCAGAGGGATGTTTCTAGATTTGTTTGGCAGGGCAGGAAGCCTCGAGTAAAACTTAAGATATTGACGGATGCCAAAGAAGGAGGTGGACTTGCCCTGCCAGACCTTTAAATTTCGTTGTGAACCATCTGCTTTTTGCTGGCAGAGAGAATGGCTGCTTCTTGAAAACACTGAAGTGTTGGATAATGGCAGACGAAGTTGATGGACTTGGCGGAAATGACTGGCAAGATCCGAGACCAGGGAGAAGAGTCGGGGGAAGTGGAATACAAAAAGGGAAGTGTGAGGAGGTCGTTGGAAATAAGTGAATGAAATATAAGATATTGAAAATGTTTGAGGTGTTTTTAAACTGTTTTTGTTTGTTTTTGCTTTGTTTTGTTAGTCTATGTAGTGTTTTTGTATTGTATTTGTATTGTTCTTTCTCTTTTCTTTTTTTGTTTGTAGTGCTGTGTTGAAAATGTTGAAAAAGTAATATCATTTTAAAAAAATATGAAATTCAAAATCCACTTTCATAGTAAGTAAGGCATTGGGTTAATTTAATGAAAAATGTTCAAACTTATGGTGTTGTCTTTTCCAACTCTAAATAGTGCTGACATGTTCAGTTACAGAAATCAGTTGGAGTCCTTTTTATTTGCATCAAACCCAAATATGGCTAGCTCAAGCTAATGAAGTCAAGAACACACAAGAAACATATTTCAGAACTAGACTCCTTGAACAGGAAATTACTCATCTTCACATGTGCTTGGTGAGCACAGGCCTATGCACATTTACTAGGAAGTAAGCACCACGGAGTTTAATAGGTTACACAGCACAATCCTAACCATGTAAATGCAGAAGTAAGTCCAACTGAATTCAGTGGGGCTTACTCCCAGGCAAGTGGGTTTAGGATTGCAGCCCAAATGTGTCTAAGGCTGCAACATTAAACCACTTACCTAGAAATAAGCTGATTGACCTCAGTAGGCCTAATATATTTTTTTAAGAACACAAAAAATAGTTGCATACTTTTGTAGATATTAACTCTGGCAATATCCATATACAAACAGATAAATTATTGTAATGGTTTCATGCAAAAGGCATAATTGAGATGAAGGCATTCTGAATATGCCCAGAAACCTGATTCTTTATTGTTGTCTTATACCTCAAAAAATCATCCCTAGTATATTAGAAATACAGATTATGGTCAGGGTCATGAGTGCTTGTACAAGTTAAGCCTTCTATCCTTTATCAGTAACACTCCTGAAAAACATCGTTTCCCCCCTTTAAAAACCTCTTTTTTCTTGAGACACCAAATTAATATCCCCCCTCCACTTTAAACTCTTCAACCCTCCCCAGATTAACCTCCAGTTTAAAGCCATTCACCTTCTCCTTCCTTCCTCTTTGAACCCTATTAGCTGGGGGTGCATATTAATTCCCCCAACTCTCTGAATGTAACAAAATCTTTTTCCCTTCTGTTCCAGGTTATCATTCTCCTCTCCAGAGTTTCCTGAGGCGGCGCTAACCCTGCCCTCCCCCAGCACCCCTTCAAAAAGTAGGGATGTGGGGAGGAGGGCTGACCCTGGTCCAAATCAGCCTCCCCAAATTCAGCTGCACAACCAACTGGACGCTCCTTCGCCTGCCCGGCCTCTCCCCTTTTGGGCTCTGCAGCCACAGCTGAAACCCTCCAAGGCTTCACTCCCAAAGGCAGCACACTCTTCATATGTCAACCAACTGCCCCTTAACAAAACCTGGAATTACGTATATAGCCAGATTCTTAGAAATGCTGGTGGTGTGCCTCTTTATCTGTTTGAGTGTTTTAAACTTCTTGTACATTATAATGCATTGCAATCATCCCCTTCCCCCGATTTTACAGTTTTATCGCATTTTGTAAACCGATCTGAGGCTTTTAAATGTGTTTTTCTCTTTTTGGGGGCCATCAATTGGTGTATGAATTTTATGAACTAATATCTGCAAACCATCACAATCATTTTGGGGGTGGCGTGTGGAGGGGATAACTGCGGGGGAGGTGGAGGTCCACAAGGGCCTCTCCCCCCTACCTCCTTTTAAGCGGACCCCACATCTCCAGACACCCTCAGGGCCCCCACCGCAGGCTCCAGGCCCCCTGCCCTTGGCCTTCCAGCACCTTCCCACTTGGCGGGGGGGGGGTGAGAAAGCCCCGATGCCCCCATGCCTTGCAGGGCGGGGGTTTGAGGGTCGCCCCCCCGCCTCATGTGGGGCTATGTCCGCAGCCCCCTCCCTCCCAGCCCCCTCCCCTCTCGGCCCCTCACCACGATGCAGGCGGCGCTGGCGCGGGGGTGACCGCTGTGCCCGGCCATGGCGGCGTGGGAGGGAGCGGCCGGCGAGGCTCTCCTCGGTCCCTCCTCGGTCGCGGGGCTCCGGCAGCGGGGAAGGGCTGCTGGGCGGCTGCCGGCGCGGCGGTGCGGGGAGGCGTCCCGGAGAGGAGAGAGGGAGGAAGGAGCGGCGGGCGGGCGGGCGGGCCGGCAGCAACCGCCTCAGCCCAGCCCAGCGCTGCTCGTGAGGAGGACGCCTCCCGCGACGCCCGCCGCGCGCAACATGGCCGCTGCCGCCGCCTCCGCCACCAAGGGAGGAGGGGGGTGCGGGGGCGTCGTCGTCGCCGCCGCCTCAAGGCCTCACGAGAAACAAGCCCTGTGGGATGTCACCCCCATAGGTCTCCACATAAGGTGAGGGGAAACAACGCCCCCCTTCCCCGCCACACATAGATATAAAAGAACAACAGCGCCCATAGAAGTGTGTGTGTGTGTGTGTGTGTGTGTGTGTGTGTGTTCATAGAGGAGGGCAAGGAAAACTCATCACCCCAAACAAATAATACTAAACGAACAATCAAATAAATCGAAAGAAAGTACTCGCAAAGGAGGGTGCTGACACACACACATGCACTTAACGGTGCTGAGATTATCTATCTGTCTATATCTGTATATCTCAGCACCACCCTCCTTTTTTACGAGTACTTATTTTCGATTTATTCATTTATTATTCATTTATTATATATATACTTAAAACGAGACTTGTCTCTCCCTTAATAACAATGGGAAGGACCCCAGCACTCTGCCCCTTATTGACAGCCTGCTTGCTTTGAGTTCAGTTGACCATTTTATATGTGGCTACTCCAAAGTAACCCTCGCCGAGATCAACAGGGCTGGGGTGGGGGTAGTGTTTTTTTTTGTTAAGATCCCCTATTTTTCGCAGCACCCCCCCCCAGGACAGCGTTTCTTCATTGCCCCCCCCCCTCCACAGAAGGCTCCTGGGGTCGCCCAAACCGGAGTTCCCTCTTCCTCCCCACAAGAGCCCTGGCGGTCCTTTCCCATCTCCGCCTATTTGCTTTGATAAGAAACCCTCCCAGTTTGCTCATGAGTAAGCCTGAAAGGGCGCAAGGGGCAGGTCTGCTCCAGATATGCCTCACGCAGGCAAGGGGTTGGTTTATTTTCTTCTTCTGTTTCTGCAACATCCGCACAGTGTGGTTGCCATCAGAATGCCACCCTGTACCCGCTCTCCCTCAATTCCACCCCAATTTACGCTTTCTTGGTGGAAAGCTATAAAATAATTAAAAAATTGTCCGGTAGCACCTTAGTTCTGGGTATAAGCTTTTGTGTGCATGTTTCAGTGTATCTGAAAAAGTGTTCATGCACACTAAAGCTTATATCCAGAACAAACCAACTGTCTCTAAAGTGCTACTGGACAATTTTTTAATTTATTTTGACTGTGTCAGACCAACAGGGCTACCTACATGAATCTAGAATTGGGGGAAAGCTGATAAACTAAAAAGAACAAAGGTACATGTTGCCAACAACTGCTTTGTGACATCTCAGCCACTTTTTTACAATTTCTGGAAGCACCATTATATGTATTTTAGCTGTCAGTGTGTCTTGCTGTTAACCAGGAGGTTGGTGGTTCAAGCTCACTCAGGGACAGCTGTGGCCAGGATTGCTGCACTGCAGCAGGTCAGACTGGATGATCCCTTCCAGCTCTATAGTTCTGTGATTCTGCTCCATTCCAATACTAGGCTTCTTTATTCTTTAGAAAACATATTTAGCATTGGAGCCTCAATAACTATATGCAGTGCTTTATTTTTTGGTCAAAAAAGAAAAAAGAGGTGCCCGTATGGCAGCAGGTGCCAGTGCTCTTTTATCTCTGGTCGGGTACAGAGGGTGGCACTAGGGAGGGAGTTGTCGTCGCACCACTCCTTGATGTGTGGAGTGCCGCAGGGCGCAATTCTCTCCCTGATGCTTTTTAACATCTTTATGCACCCCCTTGCCCAGATTGTCCGGAGCTTTGGGCTGGGCTGTCACCAATATACTGATGACACTCAGCTCTATCTGCTGATGGATGGCCACACCGACTCGGCCCCGAACACACTGACCAGATGCTTGGAAGCTGTGGCTGGATGGTTTTGTGGGAGCCGATTGAAACTAAATCCTTCAAAGACAGAGGTCCTATGGCTGGGTCGGGATGGCATGGGGATGAGGGACCAACGCCCTTCTCTTGCGGGGGCCCCAATTAGTGCCATTGCCTTCCGTTAAGAGTTTGGGTGTAATCCTTGACGCCTTCCTTTCCATGGAGGTGCAAGTTACAGCAACAGCCAAGGCAGTGGCGTAGCGTGGGTTGTCAGCACCCGGGGCAAGGCAAGTAATTTGCGCCCCCTAACCCGTGGATTTGCACCCCCTAACCCATGGATTTGCCCTAACCCCAGATGTTGCGCCCGGTGCGGCCGGCCCCCCCTGCACCCCCCATGCTACGCCACTGAGCCAAGGCGACATTTTTCCACCTTCACCGCATCAAGCAGTTGGTCCCTTACCTTTCCTGCCCCGACCTGGCCACAGTGATCCATGCGATGGTCACCTCCAGGCTTGACTACTGTGATTCGCTCTACGCAGGGCTGCCCTTGAAGCTGTCCCAGAAACTCCAGCGGGTGCAGAATGCTGCAGCGAGGCTCCTCACGGGGTCTCTGCCATGGGAGCATATTCACCCAGTGCTTTTCAAGCTGCACTGGCTGCTGATGGAGTACAGGGTCAGATTTAAGGTGCTGGTTTTGACCTTTAAAGCCCTTCACGGCCTAGGACCCTCGTACCTACGGGACCGCCTCTCCCGGTATGCCCCACGGAGGACCCTAATGTCCATATACAGCAACACTCTAGTGGTCCCGGGCCCTAAGGAAGTTAGATTAGCCTCAGCCAGAGCCAGGGCCTTCTCAACACTGGCTCCGGCCTGGTGGAATGCTCTGTCTCTTGAGACCAGGGCCCTGTGGGATCTGATCTCTTTCTGCAGGGCCTGTAAGACAGAGTTGTTCCACCTGGCCTTTGGGCTCAGAATCAGTTTGATTCCCTCCACCTTTTTCTTTTTCCTTTCTCCTCCTATGATGAGATTGCTCCCTAATTGTTTTAATGTTGTATCTTAATCTTTTAAATTGTATTTTAATCAACTTGTTTTTATTATTGGTTTTTAGCCGCCCTGAGCCCGGTCTTGGCTGGGCAGGGCGGGGTATAAATAAAAAATTATTATTATTATTATTATTATTATTATTATTATTATTATTACTCTATTCTTACTAGTTGGTAGCTTGAGGGGGAGGGTCCTTCTGGATTCTCTGCTGTCGTTTGAGGCTCAGTTGGCTTCAGTGATGCGGAGTGCCCTCCATCATCTTCGGCTGCTGGACCAGCTCCCCCCCCCATCTGGACATGGACAGCCTATGCTCTGTCTATGTTATGTCTATGCTCTGGTAACCTCCAGGGTGGCAACAGGAGAACAGGCCTTTTCTGCAGTGGCTCCCCATTTGTGGGATTCTCTCCCCAGGGATGCTCACCTGGTGCCTTCATTATATACCTTTAGGCACCAGGTGAAAACATTCCTCTTCAACCAGGCCTTTGACTGACTAAAACATCCTATATCCTTGTATTTTTGTGTTGTGAACTGCCCTGAGAACTATGGATGAAGTGCAGTATACAAATTTAATAAATAATAATAATGCTGTCACAAAGTAAGCACAAAATGCATGTTTTTGTTTTAAAAAGGCCATTGGCTATACTTGGGATGCTTAAGAGAAACAAAACAGAAAGGGCAATCCCCCCCCCCAAAATTGCATCACCTGGTGATGGATTCAGATGTATGCACTTCTTTAAAACTGCTTCAGCAACATTTGGCAGACATAAAAGCAAGTCTCTCCATTCCCACCACCAAAAAGCAAACAAAGGATTGCAGTGTTTCCAGATGGCACATCCATATATTAATTTTTTGTGTTTGCCCTCTGCAGTGGTTATATGAGGGTAATGGGAAAATCTATATTCAGTATGTTTGGGATAGGAGGCATGCATTGTTTATCAGAGAACTAAGTAGGATAGCCATATATTAATCAGGTATTTTTTAAAAAACATACAAAAAGGAACTGCAGCAAAATGTTGTAGTGTGGAATGTGCTCCAGGATACCCTGTCCTGTTCCTCTTCCACGTTGACTATCAGTCAGTATTCCACACCCACTGAGCACGTTGAGTTCTCCCTGGGCTGCTTCTTGCCTTATTTCCTTCCCACCCCTAAATATTTTTAGCCGTTATGCAGAACTGGCATGTGTGTGTTCCACTTTGACCTTTCACCAGGCAATGCCTTTGACTTTTGCAGAAGATAGCAAAGATGGTTTATACAGAGCTTGTAGGAGGGGGACCTTTTCAAAGCCCCAGACAGCATGGTCAGAGGTCAAGAAGCTCCCCAAGCCCCATCTAAGCTAATATTGCTCTTCTGCAGCAGAGGATAACATGCTGGACGAAACTCCCACTCAGCCCTCCTAGATCACACCATGTGCCTATTCAGAGCAGCATCCTGTTATCCACAGTGGTCCATCAGGTGCTTGCCACTTTCCCTTGTCCTGATGTGCCCCACAGGTTAAAATTTTAAGGGGAGAACTATGTATGCCACCCTGAGCTACTTGGAGGAAAGGTGAGATAAAATTGCCTGATATAACTGGTAGTGACTCCCTAGAAACTCAGGTGGGGACCCTACTGGTTCTGCCATTTCTTGCAGTTTATTCATCCTACTAGTGGGAAATGCTGAAACATGGGGATCATCTGCAAATAAATCATGTGTTACAGACCCCCCCACTTCACCTTAGCGGTTACACATGAAATTTGGTTGCCAGTATTTCATTGCGTCAGCAAAATAATTGAATCTCAGTTCCGCTTCCCACTTTCTGGTTGACTGATAGCTTTGTTGGGGTGGGTGGTTAACATTATCATCATTCTGCCACACAGCAATTTAAAAGACCTCTTGATTCTGGCAGCATTTGGTAGGGCAGCACTCCAAAAGCAGAAATAATTGTTGAAGTTACAGGAAGTTCATTAGCTGGCTTAAAAACATGAGGTTTACTCAAATGATCTATTAACATTAGTGCAGTAATCACTGGGATTTCAGACTCAATGTGGGACATAGCGACTCAGAAAAGCTGAAAAATTGGCCAGTGCCAGGACTGGTACTTGTTAATTTCAGAAAAGCAAATGAAATGAAATGAAAATGTAGGTGTCAAAGGACAAACT